TTCAGCAGAGGAAAACGCTGCTTGTACCTGCATATGTGACTAACGACCTCTTTGAAACCATTCATACTGCAGTAGTCTGCTTTCAGATCCTTCCACTCCACCACCAGGCTGCCTCTGGCCTCTGTCCTGGCCTGGGAGCCCTCCTGACCTGCAGCGGGAATGGACTCCAGATGGTTCAATATCAACTGTATTTCCTCCTCTCCATAGGCTTGTAGGTCCTCCTGGTTGCGAGGCCAGGTGGACAGGTCCAAGACCTTGCATGCTTTGGCAAATGAGCAGCTCTGCAGGTCCAGCCTCTGAGACAGGATGCCTTGACTCCTGTTGCATATCTTTTCTCTGATGGACTGAAACTTGGACTCTGCAACACGCAAATTCTTCAAAGCAACACCGTTGAAACTTTCACGGAAATTTTCCTCAAACTCCTGCAGGTATTCTCCAGGACAGTCTACCAACTGGCCTATCTCCTGAATGGCCTCCTCAATTTTGGCTTCCACCTGAGACACCAGCAGGTACTCTCCTTGGAAGGTGAAGGCTAATCGTGAAAGAACTGCTATGATGTCTAGGAGGAAGTAGATTAGCTTTACTGACTGGTAGTCCATGAGGAACTGGAGGAGTGTAAGAGCAATGGCTGCAGCATCAGCCCTCTGCGTTTGGCTGCTGATCTCCTTCAGATGTGTAACTACTTCCAGGTAATCTTTGATGAGTGCATTAAGGACATTCGGTTCTCCTATGATCCATCGAATAGCTCTGATGTCGCCAAGGAACTCTGTCTCCTCTGACAGTGTCGGTGCAGTGGATCGCAGCTCGGCCATCATTCGAGGGGAGTAGCGATAGAAACTGAGGAGCTGTTTGAGGTTGTTTTCCAGATCTTCCAAGCAGGAGAGCTCCTTCCCACTGATGGCATCCAGTACCTCCAAATGAGGTCGATGGATCATGATAGGAAGGCAGAGGATCCAGGGATTTTTTTTTTGCACAGCTACATACAGGTTTGCTCTCATTCCTAAAGGGATATTTGTTCCATCCACCCCCAAACCCACCACCACCAAGTCCTGAAACCTGAGGCCCAGGACCCCAAAGGCTCGATCCATAGCCTGGAGATATCCATCCACACTGGCCATACTCAGTCTCTGCAAAGACAGAAATTCTGTGTTGGGTGAGCCCTCATTGGTAATAAACTGGACATAGACTGCCACCATGTCTGAGAAAAGGTCATCATTTTGGGCATCCATTATGATGCTTAGGAAGGGAGACAGGCGCAACTTCTCAGCCAGATCTTCTTTTAAAGTCCGGGCAATGTGGTGGATAAGGATCTGACAGTCTCCTTCATTCATGTACTGGTCCACCACTTTGAGCTCACACTTCTTCAGCAGCTCCGCCAGCGGACGGAGAGCTGAGAAGGGCCGTCCTTCCAAAGCCAAGTGGTATGCTGCATTGAACAGCAGCATCATGTTCTTGCACATCTCCTCTGTCTTCTCTGGATGCATACGCAGCTTGTACAGCTGCAAACACTTCTTGTGGAGGTTACTCTGGCTGTGGAGCTTGATGGTGTGGATCTTGAACTGCTTAGAGCCAATGATGAAGGCAGAGGTACGCGATGACTGGACAGTGTACTGGCGGCAGACATGACACCACATCTCATTCAGGGTTGGTGAGTAGCGAAGGAACCAAAACTTTTTTAGCCATTCTTGCTTGAAACGACGAATCCGTCGACCTCCTCCAGAGGAAAGCTTTGATGGGTCCTCTGGAGAAATGACAAGATCTGCAGTAATTGACTCATCCGCCGAGTCCACATCCTGGTCATCTTCATCCAGAACCACCTGTGTAGGCGTCAAAGGCTCCATTCCTGCAAAGAAAAATGTAATCAATTTGTGGTTCAGATGTTCATGATCCCCTCAGGTTGTACTGCAATAACTTTGATGATCCTCTGACTTTTCATGTAGTACCATCATTTTAGCTATTAAAGATCTTAATGAAGCACACTAACATTCAAGCTGGAAAAAAAAAACTTAGAAAAAAAATCAACTGGACTAGATTTCTAGGTCGAAGACGTTTCACCTCTTGGATGTTTTCTATGACCTGGATGACTGAGAATCTGCACAGACATGACTAACATTCAAGAGATATACTTCTCTTGCTAAAGAAAACATACTGACAATTAAAAGAATTACGTTCAACATCCAAACATCGACAAAGAACTACAGCACTTGGTCTGAGGAAAGCCAGAACACTGGTTCCTAACATCACTTTTCAAAACCTACCTTGAAAATCATCAATGGGGCCTTGTTCAGGGTGGGGTGGGACTTGATCATGTTGGGACAGTGTTTGATCAGACACTGATAGACCAACCACATCTCCCTGTTCTCCTCTGAGACGGGACAACTCTTCTTCCAGCTCCAGGATCCTCCTCTTCAGTTTGACACAGTTGGGGCAGAAGGAGGTGGAGGGTTCCTCAACACACTGGTTCTCCTCCTCCTTCTGCTCAGCCTTCAGGTTAGGAATGTTGAAGCTGTTTTCAGATGAGTTAAACCCCGACCCAAGCACTGGTACTTTACACTCACTAGGGAGGGAAGCCTGGGACCCGAACTTGGTGGAGTCCTCTAGAGAAGCTTGTAGGACATCTTTAAAGATCAGGTCGATCTTCTTCCTCTTGGCAGGAGGCTGACCATCTGACTCTTCACTGAATTGTTTACTGGTGCCGGGTTTGCCCTGCAGAGCTGATTGCAGACAGGAAAATTTAAAGTCCTTATGAAGGTTGGGTAGGGCTGCTGGCTTCCCAGTATCTGGAACAAGAGTTTATACTCCATTAGATCTCAGAAGGAAATTCTTTACTGTTACTGTTGGTGATGGTGCAAAATGACGTATGCTTACCATCTGTAATGGCGTCCAGCAGGGGTCTATCCTCATTCTGCTTCCCTTTACACCATATGAGCAATAATTTTTCTGTTTCTATGCAGATGAGACAATTTTATATACTTCAACTGCACTCCAGTCCAGGCTCTAACTCCAGACTGGTTTTGATGCAGGTAAGACTGAGCATACTGGTTCTGCTGCATGGTGTTCAGCTGCCAATGCCTGACTAATCTCTATTTAAATCCAAAGGTTGCTTTGTTAAACCTGCTGTTTTTGCCTCAAGTTTATATTAAACCATTTAATCATCTAAGATGTCTTGTAAGAGAACGTTACTTTTCTTGCATTTTACATAACCCACTGGGTCATTGTTCTCGTTATGCACGTTCAAAATGTTGCCACACCTCAGACTTAGCTGCTGCTGGTGTAACCAAAAAATATACGCCAGAGGCAAGCCTTTGTTTCACCTCATCCATCTTCGTTCTTCGCAATGCATCTTAATCGCGCTAATTGAAACGCATCACGTGACCACTCATTTAACACGCGAGCCCGAGCCCGACCTGAGTAAAAATGATAGAAATTAAGCCCGACCCATCGGGTACCCAATGGGTACCCGACGGTCGGGTTGGGTTAGGGCTAAGAATTACAGCTCTAGTCTGGCTCTCTGCCATTTAACTAACGGACACACAGGTTCAAATGTGCAGATTTAAACCAACCTCTGCAATGTGAATTTTATTTTCAGGTGGAGTTCCCGCTTAGTTACAGGTCTTTGTGTGACAGCAACACCATCTGCTGGAGACTGAGTCCAGCCTCTAACGGGCCTCACAATGCAGCTGCAATTCAGTTCCACATAAATGTGCCAACTACCGACACTCGGAGAAGATGACTGATGATTTCATGTGGTGAACAAGCAGATGAACAGGGACTGATCTTTGCACTACCTAAATCACAATCACAGTTGAGCCGAGTCATAGTCTGGTGACATGATTCAGCCAAGTCAACCCCCCCATTATTCCCCGTTAAGATGTTATTCCAGCTTCTCCACCCTGTGTTGTCAAAGTACGGTCTGTAAATGAAATATTTCCCACTTGTGGCAGTTTTATTTGTTCAGAAATAAATCTGCAACACAGTAAAGTGTGTCAATTGTGAACAGGTCTGAAAACTTTCTGAAGAAACCCAAACTTTATTAATATTATTATTTGAAGTGTTAAACCAAGCACCACCGTGACCCTATTAATATTATTATTTGAAGTGTTAAACCAAGCACCACCGTGACCCTGTAAAACTAGAATTTTATGGCAATAGCTGCCAGAGTAATGGTAGAGTGGCGACTACCAGTCAGTCTCACCTGTGTCCAGGTTGTGGTTGATGCTTTCCTGAGAAACACTGTGAAGTTGTTGGATGTACTGGTCACTGTACCAAACCCTCAGCTTTTCCCCAGCCACCAGCTCCCGACACGCTCGGAAGTAGATGTTTTTTCTGTACTGAAACGCTGTCAGGTTCCTTCTAGTCTCCCCCGACGAGGTCCGGACAAACCTGTGACTCAGAGACATGAGCAAGTTCTCTTTTAAATGGTGTGTGCTTATATAGTGTTTTCCTACTGCAGCAGCCAAAGTGCTTTACAATACTAACCCAATCACTGACTGCTGGTGACGGCAGAGCTGCGATATGTGGACATTGGGGAAAACTGACTAGAGAAACTGGGGATCGAACCACCGCCACTGGCTCTACCCTACGCCACCTCTTCAATTTGTAGCTGGCTGTTTGTATTTCCAATCTAGTTGTGTTTCTGATGTTACTGCTTTTATGCAATATCAAAGACAAAATTTAGTTTTATTTCATTTGACACATCTAATTTTATTGTCTTGTTCCTGTACTCTGGACTTGAACCATGTACTGTTACCAATATAAAACCTTGCTCATTGTATCTTAAAAACAGTGAATGTTACCTCATCCAATTGGCTTTGGTCTCATCACTGCCATCGATGGACTGATACGTGTTGTTCGAATCCACAATCTGTAACAATCACAGCAGTAATTTGTCTGAACACTGGATTTGAACTGGTATTGTTTAAATGTGGCTGTAAACTGGCCCAGACTGGATCTAAACTGGTCTGGGACTAGTTGTACTTACTATCCAGCTAAAGATGCTGGAGGATTTGTCTTTGGACACGAGCTCTCCCTCGTATGGACCAAACACCGCCCCCCTAGGGATGGTTGAATCCACGCAGCGAATATCCACCTCGTCCCCCTCACAGAAGACCTCCAGGCCAGGTGGGACTGTGAGTGCTGCCCTGTTGGCCGACCCAGAGGCCACAGGTGTATTGGGGATAAACAGTGGGGGCCCGTGGGATGGACACTCCTTCTGGAAAAAGTTCTGGCACTCCTCACAGACTGCAGGACAGACACAGGCGCCGTGAACAATGTTTATTTCACATTTGGAGCGACATTTCAGGTTATCTCTCTGTGCAGGTTCACTGTACAGGAGCCTTGGCTCTGTCCAGATATCAACCTGTGGATGTTCACTGCAGCCACCATGTTGGTACAGGGAGGCCTCTTAATGTCTGTGTATGAAGGCGGGAGCTCAGTCCACTATTAAAATAGATGATTTTACCACTGGTTTTACAGCTCTTTGCTTTGTCACAAAAGTGCAAATGTGTTTATGATACAGGAAACTACGATAGGTGCGGATTTTCACACTATCTTTTGTATGAAGACAGTGATATTTCATTAACATTTAAGATGGACTGTGTAATTAGTGTCTATTGTCTTACTGTGGTGTAAAATGGATGACATGACATCACTGCGATTAGAATTTTGGAGATAAATACAGACTTAGGTCAGGTGGCCGTCACCTCATGAAGACGCAGAGTCAACGCATTTGTATTTGTAATGTAAATCACTGTTTTTGGCAGCACTTCTTTAATGCGCAGTGCTGTCTGTGAACTCTGAACCCGAACTGAATCCAGGCCTGCAGCCTGGGTGTTCACAGCTCAGCCTCCGACACAGATCCAGCTTTATTCTGGTTCACCGAGTGAAGACGGAACTTACACCAGCGGTCCGACAGCTGCTCGCTCATCGTGGAACCATGTCGGTGGATATCCAGCTCGCGTCCACGTCACAGCCCTGTGGACAAAGGACAGCAGTTACCGAAACACACCAGGACGACCTTCAGTACACAAATACTGGTTTATAGTGTGCACCAGTGGTTTCCTGCATGGCTACATCCATAAACATATCGCCTGCGTGCTCGCTCACATGCATGGCTTCCTTGTGTGAAGGCAGGCGACAAACAGGGGCCCACGCTTATAAACACTGCTCCACAGCGCTCCTAGTGGTCAAACGCTCTTCAGGGCGCCTTTAACGTGACAAACTAAAGCAGCACTTTCTCACATTGGAGAAGCTGCAACAATGACCCAAACAAATGCTGACTTATTTTCAATCAACTCATCGTTTTCATTTCTTAGCTGCAATCCTCAATGGCAAATGTTTGTGTGAAAAAAACAACAAAAGAAAACAGGCTTCAAGTTTCCAGCACCCGTCGGTGCTGGTCCGAGGGCCCGGCCCAGGCCTACCGTACATGTCTAGGAATGAGAACTTCCCCGAGCTGCTGAGCGCTCCTCCCTGTAGAGGCAGCGGGGGACACAAGGAGCCGCCGTGGCTGAGCTGCTCTCCGCGGTGCTTATCACACGTACACGCAGCTGTTTGTGTGTGCGCGCGCATGTTCCAAATCTATGCGGATGAGGCACAAAATATGTGCACGATTGCAGCCTCCTCTGGGCTGGAAGGGTCTCATCTGGGCCGACGCAACGCACAGGACAAACAGAAGTTGCCGTTAACTTTGTGTCGGTGTCCGGGGCGGACCCGGTTCCGGAGCGGAGCCATGCCCCCTCCGGCAGCTGCCTTTTCATCTGCGCCACGCTTTCCCTGCTCCTGCAGGCGACTGGCAATCTGCCTTCCGAAAACAGCAGCCATGTTCA